TTTTGGGCTGCGCCATCTAAGGTTGTTTGTATTAACGCTGTGCGTCGATGTATCCAGTTTTGATGTAGTGGCGTATTAATTGGTTCAGGTCCAATATTTAAAATCAGGTTTGCTGTTACTGCATTTAAATAATCTTCTACAGAATATTCAGGGTCTGTTCCTGTGAAAACCATTAAAGGTTTGTTTGATGTTATTGATGATCCACCCATAAGGTATGGATTCATTGTCATTTGTAATGATTCTGCTGCATTTGGCATTTGAGAAAAATTTGAAAGTTGGTTTCTTGTTATTTCATGTTGTTGGAGATAATATGGGAGTGGTATTTCATTTTGCATTTGTGATGCTTGATACGAGTGTGTAGTCATTGGATTTTGTTGTTGAATTGGTTGAAAGGATTGTGTATTAATTAGATTTTGTTGTTGAATTGGTTGTTGATGTTGTGCATCTATTGGTTGTGGAGAAAAATTTCTATGATTTGTACGTGTTTTCTGTATTCCTTGTCTACGATATTCTTGAGTATTTTGTGCAAATATATCTGGTTGTAAGAAATCATCATCTGAGGATAAATAATCCATTTGATAAGATGTCTGTTTTTTATTTTTATTTTGTTGAAAAAATGGGTAATTTTCACTGTGATCCTGTGGAGGATTTGGTTGAAAATTTTTGGAATTATATTGGGCCGTTGGGTTATCCCAGTTTCGAGGTTTTGTATATTGATTAAAATTTCTTTGTGGTTGATAATTTGTTTTTGACGGATGTGTATAATTATAATTATGGTCTGCAAAGTTGTTTCTAGTGAATGTTTTGTGTGTTTTTGATGGTATTGTCATGGGTCTATATGTTTGGTAATCCATATGTGAATATTTAGGGGCAACCGAAGGTTTAACGGTTGATTGTAAGGTTACCTGTGTTTGTGAAGGATTTGTATTTCTTGGTGTTGTTAAATTTGGGCGTATTGGTGAAATACTTTGTTGTGTAGTTGTTGTGTGTACAATTTCTTCATTTATGAAGTGTGATGGTGTCTGGATATCTTGTTGAGTAAGATTCCTAGTTCCATTGAGGTTTTCATTGTGTATAACTGTAGAGTTTAAACTATTATTTTGTGTATCGGGTAAAAATGTATTATAGTTTAATGGTGTTGCATCAATGGTTAATGGTATTACTTTTACATAATCTCTTATGTAAGATATCGTACTTATTGCTTGACTTGAGATTGATTGTGGGAAGCTTATAAATGCGGGATGAGACCATTCGGGGTCCCAAACATAATCTGATTGTTCTGTGATAGCTGTATCATCGTTCGAGTTTTGGGGTCTAAAATTTTTTCTTGCTTGTGCAATTAAATCAATATTGTGTGTAAAATAATCTATTATGAACCATGCCAAAATTTTTTGTAGATCGTGTTTTGTATGTTGTGAAACGTCGTCTTTCGTGAAATTTTCTTTAATGATGTTTAAATAACTAGAGAGTAGTGTGATTTCATGTCGTACTTTCAAATGTTTAGATGTTTCTGTCGGTGAGACATTTGTTATTGGGATTTCGTTTTCTAATATCGAAATATAACTATATATTATTGCGAAAACTTCATTGGTGAATATGGAGTTTGCTCTTTGTGAGTTATGATATTGGATGCTTTTTATATATTCTGAAAAAACTTTTGAAAATTCTAAATCAAGATCGTCTGTTTGAATTGTATATTTTCTATTATTATGGTTTGGTGAGGTGAATTCTATGGAGTAGATTCCATACTGTTGTGTTATGTTGCATATATCTTTTAGATAGTGATCTATGATTTGTCTTTTGATTTTTACATCGGGGAACTCTGTTTTACATGGACTGATTCCGGGTTCAAATAAATTTACGAGTAAATTTTGACAAAATATGTGTTGTCCTCTATCAGTATCTGCGTCTACTATAAAAGGAAAGATTTCATCATCATCTGGAGTTTCTTCACCTGGAGTGTGCGTTGAGCTCATTTTTTCGTTCGATGACTGTTAATATGTAATTATTAATGTGTCGAATTGGTTGATTCCAATTGTATAAATGTACTGGTTTGTGTTTATACTGCTTTTTTATTCTTCTTTTTCCTCTTTTTGATGAATTTGAAGTTGTTTCTGAGTCAGAAAAATATAATTGATCGTGAAGTGGGTAATTTTTATCTATTGATTCTTTTAGTTTGTAAAGTTCGTCTAAACTGTTGGTTTCTGATTCTGAAAATGCGTTTCGATTTTTTGAAAATCTTTTTCGTGTTATTTGTCTTTGTTTCGTTATTATTTTTCTTTTTAGTGTTTGTCGTTTTGTTCGAATGTATCCAACTGTTTGTGTATGAGGTGTGATTACAAGGTCGTATTTTTTGTTATCTATTTCACAATTGTGTAAAACGATTGTTTGTTTATTTCCTAGGTTTTTAAATGACATAAGGTTTAGAATGACGGATGCAAAAGGTTGTTAAATGATTTCTATTTTCCTAAACTGTTAGTTCTTACGATTTTTTGGTTAGCTTAACCTGGGTCTATTTGTTCAGGGTTGGAGAGAAAAGTATATCGATTCCGAAGAATGATTTTTTACTTTCTCGTGGCTAGTATAAGTTAAGGTGTTAACTTACTTAATCTTACTTAGGGGTAGTGATTGTGTTCAAGGGTTGGAGAATAGTAAATCGATCCACAAGGTTCAGGTATAATTAGAACGCGAGTAGTTCGTTAGATACTATTTTAAACTTACTAAGTCTAAGATTTATCCTGGGTCTGGTAAGAGGGGGGGTCAAGTGAAGGATGAATAACCGAAGTTCTTCACTGTTTATCCTAATTTGAATGATTAGTTTTGTTTAAAAATTTCTATTAGTCTTAGGTCTTTAGAAAGGGTTGGGTAGTGAATCGACGTTTGAGGTCGTTAGACACTAATTAAGTGGGTGGGGGAGAACAAAGTTGTTCTGTTTGATCCAAGGATAAGCCTTGATGATCAAATTTGAAATTTAATTAAGTAGAAAATGATTTAAGATCCAAGGATAAGCCTTGATGATCTGGTTTTAAAATTAAGTGAATTTAAGTTTTAATAAATTTTTAAATGTGTGTAAAGGAAAGATTTAGTGTTTTGATGATATTAGTGGGTTTATGATTGCTGTTATGTTTTAGATGATGGAGCTGGAACAACAGGATGATTTATGATTACTAACCATTTATTGTCATGCTACTAATTTTTATTTTTATTTTTCAATAAATATTTTTCAAACATGTTTTGTATATTACTGCAGAATTTTAGGAAAACGATCTTAGATCTTTTTATCAATCGTTATTGTATATTAATAATTTTGTTTAGCGCCTGAAATGATTTTGAAGATTAACTTCAAGGTTTTATGTTTGCAAATGAAAATCTAAATTCATTGCCAGTAATATTCTAAATATAAAAGTTTGTTCTGGTTTTTGCTTAACTATCATATAGCTATATGGCAAGTTTCTACTTTGTCGTATGTCGTCTCTGGTTCGAGGTCTTCTTCCAATTCCGGGTAGTTCTGTTATGGTTCGGAATATTGGCTCTGATCTATTGAGTCGTAGAGACATTTCGATTAAATTATTGTCGTATAACATTTTGTAAATGTTTTTGTCTAATTTCTAATCTATTTTGGTTAACTCTAAGCTATTAAGGTCTTGTTCGAGACTTATGGTCGCACCAGATGAGTTAGGACCGATGTGGTTAACTCATAGAGTAATTTCGGATAGGGTACACCGTCTGCTCGTCACGCTATCTTATTTTCGGCCGGATAGATTCGTGCAACTTCTTAGTCTAATACCGATCCTAATCTTACTCTTATACTATCTAGTCTCAGGTTGTTTAACTAGTCTCTGCTAGGCTCAATAGATCTAGGGTATACTGGTTTATTGCGGCTGCTGAAGTGCTCGGGAGAGTCCAACTAATTTCTAAGTTAAATTCAAATCTCTCTGGTGCTGAAATTACAAGTAACTTCAGCACTTACAAATAAGTGGGTTGTTAGTTAGATGGATCATGATTGGTTAATATTAAATACTTTACATTGGTAAAACATTTAATTTATCCAATCATAAAATGTAGTTTAGATCAGGTTCCAATTTGAAAAATTCTCAAAGGAAGCTGAATTTTCAAAAAAATATATTTAATTTTATTTCGACCGTTTTTTGTCTGGACCAGGTTGATTTTTCGAGCGTTCCCAAATTAACCCTGAAGACTTTATTTCTGCATCGCATCGCAGCCAAATTTTTGAAAAAGAGGCCAAAATGACGCTCTAAGGATCTTTTAAGAGCTTTTGACTAAAACGCAATTTTTTATTCGCGCTTCCCTCAAAATTATTAGGTATTGGTGCCAAAGGCGCGTTTAGAAAAATTTCGAAGAGTTGTCCGACCCAAACTTGATGTATAATAGTACAAAAGGTGGAAAGTGAAATTTAGGACCTTTAGGATGGTCAAGGGAAAACTCTAAAAAGCGGAGCATCCTTCTTCCCCTCTTCGACTCAGTAGCGGATGTAGAAGGAAGTGGGAAGTGGGGGGGGGGGGGGGGGGGGAGAGACGCTCGGAATCTTCAGTTGTTCAAAAAACAATACAAAACAAAGCTGAAGTCGAAAATTATTTACAACCCCCCTCGCGATTGTTTTACAGTTGGAGCACTTGTTTAGCCAGTTGTTTTAAAAATCAATTACAAGTGACTCATCCTTGTCTATTTTCTTAGTACTTCATGAGTTCAGTGCGCACTATTTACACAAGTGACTCATCCTTGTCTATTTTCTTAGTACTTCATGAGTTCAGTGCGCACTATTTACACAAGTGACTCATCCTTGTCTATTTTCTTAGTACTTCATGAGTTCAGTGCGCACTATTTACACAAGTGACTCATCCTTGTCTATTTTCTTAGTACTTCATGAGTTCAGTGCGCACTATTTACACAAGTGACTCATCCTTGTCTATTTTCTTAGTACTTCATGAGTTCAGTGCGCACTATTTACACAAGTGACTCATCCTTGTCTATTTTCTTAGTACTTCATGAGTTCAGTGCGCACTATTTACACGTGCAACTACATGCAGTGCCAGATAGCATGCAACACTTGGACTGCGAATGACGTCAGCATCCTCCGATATGACTCATCCGACAGGAACGACCACCATCCGATCCATTGAACTTAATTAAGGCTCCAAATTAGACCAATCAAGTGTACGCAGAGAAGTCTTCTAGATTTTACATATATAGTAGGGTTGTGAAAGAAATCAGAAAAAAAATGATCAAGGAGCCTCAAAAGTTCAATTAATCCTTCTGTGGTCGTGGCGTCAGGAACTGTGTGTGTTATGACTACCCCTATGGACAACTGTACCACTACTTGGACCACCCAATTGACACAGAACTGTCCACGCAAATATTCGCCGTCAGAGGTCATGATCACATTCAATGTCAATTAAGTTCAATTTGATGGCGGCATAAAAAATTTAAGTATTTTCGATAATGCACCGAGATAAAAATTTCATACAATTTCATACAAAAAATGACGAAAACAATGTCATACCCAAACAAAATGTTTTACCAAAACTTTTGTGTTGATGACGTATTTTTGGATACAAAATCATTGAATTATTTTCCCGTTTTTTTAAAAGTTTTTCTCAAAAACTATCAAAAAAGCTTGTCGTTTTTATTGCATAAGCCTGAAGGCTTTGAGCAGTGCATGATTAATTAAAACTTGTAATCAGAAAAAAATTGCGACCTCGAAAGTTTTTGCCCAAATTTAGAATCATGCCGAAGACATCTATACTCAGATTATTTCCAATGCATTGTATATGCAGGACCATTAAACCTTTGGTGAATATAGCTTTGAGTAACCAGGGTCTTTCTCACTTGTGTTCGGTTTACGAGCAAAACCCAAAAACTTCGAGAAAAAATTAAATTTACTAAAACACAATTTTTTGATTTATGGAAAAATGGTAAGCCTAACTAACATACATGAAAAATTACCAATTGTAAAACCTTCATGCACTTATCTGTACTTGCATGAAAGGTGAAATATAAGCATTTTTCCATTTATAAAAATTTTATGATTATCATTTTTGGTCAACCCGGGTTCGGAAGGCAGCAGTGAAATTGCTCGTGTTGATGGTTGGTGATTCGAGGATATCATCTTCAGCCTTGGTGGAAGTCACAATAAAACCTCTTCCTGACCATTTCAAGGTGGAAATTTAAAAAAAAATGGCAAAAAATGCGTTTTGATGACAAATTATCAAACCCAATTATAGTTTTTGAATCCTAAAATAAGTTGAAACGAAAACTTGCCTCTAAACAATATAATTACAACAATGTTTCATATGAAAGTTTTCTGATTTATCATATTCCGCGAGATTTTTGGAATGGAATAATTTACACACAATTTAGTTTTCAAGTTATTGCAGGCGAAATACATGCGGGCCCTGTGTGTTATAGTAGATTTTTCTAGGGACCAGTCTATTATAATAGTACCCTGCAAAAAACTTTCAACAAAGAAAAAATTAATCTGGTTTGTAAAAATTTAAAATTTATCAAAGTTTTTAATCTGAAAACAAATAAACAATAATCAGTTAAGATCGATTTTTAAACTGGTTCTAGAATCATACAAAAAATAATTGAATAAAGTGCTGATTTAAATTATCCGGACGAAACGAACAAAACCTGAAATTTGTTTAAGAATTGACAAATAATGAAGAAACAAAAGTTGCTTAGAGTTTCATTAGATTTAATATGGTGCAATTTTTTCTCCGAAAGTATCAATCAAAATTTTGCCCCAAAAATAGGTTATTTTGGCTTTTTTCAATTAACCAAGAATTACGCTGAAACTATTTCGTTAATTGATGAACAAGAAGCTCGATATATATCGCAAGAAGTGTCTTACACAGCCCAAAAAATTTTTAGAAGGTTAAAATCTCCAAAATTTCAGCAAATTGTTTAAAATTTGTTTTTAGACAAAGATTCTTGGTTTTATATAGTAAAAATCACGTTTCTTGAATATCAAGCAAAAACATTTTTTCTTATACATATTTTTGGAGTCTTAACCTTTCTAGAACTTTGTTGGGCTGTGTAAAAGGCTTCTTGTGATATGTATTCTTCATCAATTAACGAAGTATTTTCAGCGTAATTCTTGATTAATTGAAAAAAAAACCAAAATGACCCTTATTTGGGGTAAAAATTTAGTTGAGAATTTTGGAGAAAAAATAGCATCATATTAATTCTAATGAAATTTTAAGCAACATTTTTTCTCTTCACTTTTTGTCTAATTTTCACCCAATTTGAGAAAAACGTGTTTGAAAACTCAAATTTTATTCATCTTGTCCAAATAATTTAAATCAGCAGTATATTAAGTTTGAAACTGGATGAAGCCTTAAAATAGAGTCAATTTTTCTTCATCCCCACTCAATGCCTGCCAACAAAGTTTAGCCAATTCATGGGTGAAAGATCGCAACTTGGGAAAGATCGTCTATGGTGGTGTGGGGGAGAAGGAGGGTTGATTTTAACTTGATTGGTAGCATATGTTCGAATTTGTTTTAGTCGATGGTTTGAATATATTTTGTTTACGTCAACAAAATATAGACAATAAATATTGAGGTTTTTCGACATTTTTTGTTTCAGACTATCTGACAAGAGACATGAGGCCAAAGGCAGAGACAAGTACAACGACGATGACATAAAAACAAGAAACAAACTGAAAAAAAAAACATCTTGTTTTCATTCACTCTTAATAAAAATGTAAGACTTTTTCTTAATCTATCCAATGATATCAGTGGTATCAGGGGCGGTTTTAGTGGGGGGGGGGGGGGGGGGGGCAACAAATTCTAATTTTGAAGAAGCGCTCGCGCAGCAGAAAAGCTTAATTTTTTGGTTAAAATATTGCAAAAAGTCAAAAAGTTCTCAAAAACGTTTTTTCCTCTCTAAATTTTTTTATCTGAATAGGATAGTTATAATGCAGGAAGTTTTGCCCCCTCGAAAAATCCTAGATGCGCCCCTGGATGTAATACAAACTTTGCAAAATCTGATGCTGATGCCATCGAATTTCATGGCCTGAAACTCCGACCCTCAGTTGAGAGAAGGTTGAACGGATGAAATATTTAAGGATGCAGAATCCAAAAAACAATTATAAAAAAAATATGAACAATAAAAAGTTTATATTATACTGTTAACTCGAAAAAAAATGATATAATTTTGCCACAGTCAAAGGTTTTTAAAATCCTACTCTTTGAATAAAAATTAAATTATGTTCCGATCACATGTAGAATGACTTTAATCAGGCCATTTGATAATTAATTTTCGTACAGACAGTAGGATTTTGTTCTCCGATTTGTTCATAGCGTAGACAATTTCTATAGCTATCGTGATTTTAGGAGAAGGTCTAATTAGGACTCACCATCCAAAGAGTGATTCTAGTTGCGATGAAGATGATGAGAAGGAGGAACATACACACTAATGCGTAGAATGCACCAGCCATCCACAGCCACGCTCTGAAAATCAAAACGAATTAGAAGTATTCAACACTGATTTTCTTTAAAAAGTAATAGAAGATATGAATATTTAGCTGCCTTGCTCTCAAGTTTTTTCTTTGAGATCTATTTGGTTCGCAGTCCATCTTGTTTGTTGATTCAGGGTGAGACACCGTTTCGAAGCCCCCCGGGTCGAGGTCCGCCACTAATTTTTGACTTTGTCGGTCGCGGAAATGTAAATTCCGGGACCGAAACTCCATAGTCTGGGCAGGGTTTTCAGTCGCGGATAAACTCTGGAAATACCGTATCTCGGTCGCAATGGTCGTATCTCGGTCTCGGTCAAAAAATTAGCCGCGGCGGTCGAAAAATTAGTCGCGGTGGTCAAAAAATTAGTGGCGGCGGTCAAAAAATCAAGCAAAAAAGTGCTTATGTACCTTAAACAGGGATGAAACAGCAGTTTTCCGTAAATAGCCGAACAGTTGGTATTGGGCAGATACATATATACGGAGGCAAACTGATTCAAATTCAGTATAGTTGGGAGATTTAAATCGAAACTGCGCGACGTGATTGGAACAATGAAATAAGTTAATTAACTAGAGTACCTGGCTGTTCTTTGGTCGTCCCCCCAATTGGGGTACAAAGATGGCGATGGGGAGGGAGGGGCGCATTGGAGGGGGTCAGAGAAGTCGTGCCCGATGAACTCGATTGACCTGTCGTCCCAGAAACAGTAGCCGCACCCGTTCGCAGGCCGACCTTCAACAAAAACATTTAGAGTGATTAATAATTTATCAAAAACCATGAAAGCAGTCATCAATAGTTAGAACGGTTTTACATTTAAAAAAAACATTTATAATTACAGTCTCCCAACATTAAGTTGTCAATTTTTTTGCGGTTGTCGCGTTATCTGTCGCGTTTTTTAATGTGATTGTCTCCTAATTAGACTGAGATTTCACGTGACCCATAATTATACTGGGCTGGATTCATGCACCGAAGATCATAAGCTGATTCAGGCTTATAAGGATACTTTTCAATTTTTGCTAAACCTCGGCATCCAAAGTTTTCTCAGTTTTTCTCGAGATTTAATCTGAATTCATACCAGCACGTAACCAAAGATACTGCTTTTTTTTAGATTGTATGAAAACAAAATGTGTTTGTGATCGTGTACTCAACATTCATGCAAAAAAGGCCTCTAGAGCAACAAGCAATTAGTTCAACCCGTAATTTTTTTAGCTTGCAGCTTAAGAAAGTTACCAAACGTTTTTGGCTCTTATTAGTGGTGCAACATTCGTTCTAAAATAGCATTCGAATGTTCGTCCAAAACATTCGAACATTCGCCAAACGTTCAAACGTTTGGTATTTCACTCGAGTTTGAAGATCGACATTTTAAAAATAGTTATAGTACTTTTAGATTTTGAGCTCAAGATATCAACAATTTTCAGGTTTAAAAATGGTTTGAATTGAATTGTCAAATTCTGCGAGATTCAAAACTCTACGCCAAGAACAAGTATACTTGGCAGTACAATATTCTGTGTTGTCTCAACCCTAAAAGCTGTTGTCTCAACGCAGTGTTTAATCTGTCGTTCAAATAATATTTGATATTATAAGCATCCTGGCGCTTGTGGGTTTTTGTGTTAAGTGTGTGTGTGTGTGTGTGTGTGTGTGTGTGTGTGTGTGTGTGTGTGCATGTGTGTGTCTGCATGTGTGTGTGTGTGTGTTCAGGTATACTGTTATAACTGTTTGATGCCTTAGTCCTTGTAAATAACTGAAACACAATTCAATCTCTGGTTTAGGAAAGAAAAATATTTTAACATACATTTTAAAATGAAGCTCTCAAAAACCATTGATTGTTTCTGGCCAATAATCTAAAGCTTATCGGTTTTAATTAAGGATTTTGTACTAGGCTTTTGTAAGGGTGGAAGTGCTTTAGTAGGTACAATTGAGGGAAACATTCCCGCACTGACAAAAATGGATTAGGATTGATTTTAGTATGAAAAAAGTACATTGATTGAATTTATATCAATTTTAGTATGAAAAAAGTACGAAGATTAACTAAAAAAGATGAAGATTGATTTAAATTGATCTTAAACCCCAGCAAAAAAATTTACATAAACCGATTTTAAATCGATATAAATGCATTTTTTCAGTCTTAATTTGTCTTTATTTTTAAAGGGATTAAAACGGATTTGAATCGATTTAAATCGATTTTTTTTCCATTCGAGATTCATCAGTTTCGAATTTTTATGGCATTTATTCATTGCTTATCATTTTTCATTTTGCATCCATAGCGTATTGTAAAAAAGACCAAAATAAAAGACCAAAATATCGATGAAACGATGTTGCATATTAATGAGATCAAATTTTGATCTATTTTGACCCTTTTCTTGTTTTTTTTACACAGGGTTTTGCATAATCTGATTTAAATAATTTTCTATGATTTCATTGCCTATTTTTGAGCTTAAAATCTCATTATGAGGATCATTTCATTGAACTCTATAACATCTGGCACGAGTGTTTATATTTAAAAAACCAAGAAAAAAAAATTTCAACTATTTTTTCTAAAGAATTTGTTTTTTGTTAGCTAAAAAATAGATTTTAGTGAGTCTGAAAATCCATCCAAATCGGTTTAAATTGATTTTTAAGACACTTAAATTGATCCAAAATTGTCAAATAAGATCGATATAAATCGATTTAAAATGGATTTAAGTGAGTTTTGGATGGATATTGGTGAAAATCCGTCCATATCGATTTAAAGCGATGTTTTAGACACTTAAATCGATCCAAAATTTTCAAAAAAAGATCGATTTAAATCGATTTAAAATCCATTTAAATCGATCCAAAACCATTTTTGTTAGAGCGGGTTATTACAAGTAGGCACCAGTTACAGATAATAGTTATTACAACCTATGTAGCCAATGATGTCGAATATGTATGGCACTATGGCCTGTGCAATTGCAGTGCCCCATACAATCAAGTGTGTGGTCAGTTGGTATGTCCATCCAGGCTCCACTGCGTCCACATCACTGGCCATTCTGTGGATCTGCAGGAACAACACCACAGTCCAACCACACACACTACTGAAGCAGGAAGTTTGCTCAACTTAACCAACCAGAATATTCAACTGGAAGTTTATTAGTAATTGTTTTTTATAAACAAAGGTTAATTTAGAAGTGCTGATACCGAGAAAATTGCACCTCATGCGCAATTTGAACCCGCTATCAGACTCGAAATAAACCATAACCATAAATGCACCGCAACTCAAATACGTCTTCATGGGTCGAGGTCCTCGATTTATGTTTCGACTTTCTCGACCAAAAATCGATGTTTTGACTTTCTCGACTTTCTCGACCGACATTTTTTAAAACTTTGTTTGTTCGACCCAGCATAGATATGAAAAAATTTTCCAAAGATTATTTGATCCATCTCAGATTTATTATGATGGAATATAACCATTTTTGTTTTTGAAAATAATCGATTTTTCTCGTCTATGTTTCAAATATTTTTGTCCAAAATTGGGTATGTTTTGAGTTTGCGCTTGACTTAAAATTGCTTCTCCACCGCGGATTTGCAGTCGCAAAACTGCAGGTGCTTGGCTTTCAAAGTCGAAACACAAGTCGAGCACCTCAACCCGGGTTTTATTTTTTGTAAATTCTACAGTTTTTAAATATGTTCTCGTTTTATGGAGAACTAGCCTAAACCTATCCTGACGATCCAAACCCGGCTGGTCGAGGTGCTCAATTTAAGTTCCGAATTCTTCAGCCAAAAATTGGTATGTTCGGATTTTCTCGACCACGTTTTGATACGTTTCCACTTCCTCGACTTTTATATAAAAATTTTATATAAAAAGAACTAATGCTCATTGATAGAAGCTTTTGTTTCTCTTAGTAACTAAATTGAGGCATAGATCTCTTAATAGATGTTTTTATAACATCCTTATCTGTCTTTTCCCAGAGTTAAACTGATATTTAAATCAGCAGAAAATCAAAAACGGATAATTTATTGAACATTTATGAGTTACAAATGGCTGAACAGCTGTCGTAAAAACCAACATAGAGGCGATGAATTTATGTTAACTATTGTTAGCTTACGCTGAAAGAAATCAAAAGATTCTTATTTCTTTCAGTTCTTATTGCTGAAATTTTTAAATGGGTTTTGTATTAATGGGAAAATTAGATTTAAACAAAAAAGAAGATTTTCCGACACAATTGTGCGAGTGGCGAAAAGGTTAAGATCGAAAATATTTTTTTTCTTCTTTTTAGCATAGGAAAATCTGAACTTGAAACTTGATTCATACCTTTTTTCAAACTCTTGATAAAATTGACATTTGCTTTAAGTGACTGTTTGATAACAAAAAAAAACTTTAAAAGACCAGCGAAACCAAGCAGTTTTGCACTTGCCTCACTTATTTGAAAATTCAAAGCGTTATCATAAGACCGCAAAAGTACTAGGCGTTTTGTCGTCGCGATGTCTGCTTTTCGAAGCAGGATACATAATAAGTCCTCCAAGTGGTGTCATACTTGTTAGCAGCAGAAATATGAAAAAAGTTCCGATCTTGACAAAATTTGTTATTTTGTGACTGATATTTTGAAAGTTACAAATTTCAAGTTACGCCCCAAACAAGTGCGGAATTTGGAATACAACAACGCACCCCTTTTTTAACTGAACAGTCGTTTGCTACACACATTTCCGGTTGTATCAGTTAATGTCAATATATGATGAAATGTTTTGTGATTAAAGCTTGAATGATAAGAAGATACTCAAAAAGAGATGAAGTCGTCGATTCTTTCATTGAAAACATTTTCGTTTCAATCTCTTGCAAAAAGATCATTAAATTTTTTCCATTAGAAATCTATAACATCAATTGAATGGTTTTTTTGAGCCTCTCTGTCCTGATTTTTTTGGTATTTGTCAGGATAGATTCTGGATTGCATTTATCTTGCTGGCGTTTCTTTCGTGCTCCTCCCAAAAATCATTTGTGCAATTGGATCTTCCATGCGCCCTCTTGTGCTGACTCTGTTTTTAAGTAGTTTGATTAAGACTAGTTTCTTACTGATCTGCACTCCGTTGCTAATCATCTTTTTACAATGAAATTTTCGCGGTTTTACAGAACCGGATAAAAGGGTCATTTTGTGTCTCGTGCAAACTAAATAATGATTTAGGGTTTTCCAACCCAGTATTTGCAATTATTGTGTCCTGTTAGAGCATTTTCTAATTAATTGTAAATTTTTTTCATACACGAACCCACCACGGTGGAAGTCAAGAATTTTTATGGCATTTCAAAAGTCGCAGCCTATAGAAAACTATTTTTGTAGATAGAATTACATAGCGGTGGTTAACTTTAAGATTTTAGCTTGACATATCTTCAAAATATACGGCGTTTTTTGCTCAATTAAGAGAGGAATCATTTTTTGAAAACTAAATCTGATAAAAAAAAGAGAAAACAAATAGTTATCGTAGAATTATTCTTGTTTTTTGAATATCTGTTTTGCTGCAAGAATCCACGAAGGCAATGTTAATTTGCGACAACTTTTGGCTTGTGGTTTCAATTGTAGGCTTAAATGAAACGGAAGAGTTTTTACAACGTAAGAACAGTTCTGGTTGATCTGGGAAAACAGAAATAGTGTTCACATTAGCAAGTACATTATCGTAGTCAGTTAGGCTGTTTTAATCACGCACGACATTGTTATCTATTGCTTAACAGCTAATATATATAAATTTTAAACGGTTAGTAAGTTTTTTAAAAACGGTTTTGACTGGTTCTAACGGACCTCTGGTTGTATTGAGATATATCAAATTGGTAACTGTCCGGTAAGTTGCTATTCTAATCAATCATCTTGTTTTTGATAAAATGCCTGAGCGTTTTTAAACAATGGTGGAATAATAATGAAACTGACCAAAATGCTAGGAAGCGAGTTTTGAAGTCAACATATAGCCACAAGTTTTTTTTTCGGCATAGTTAAATAGTACTAAGAATTTGAAGTTACGTATAGCACCAACAATGTTGGTACAAATCTACGTCGGACTGGGTCAAAAATTAAACTTAACCGTGTTTCTAAAAAATTTATTTGAAAAAAGCAATTATCAGAAATTCAGGCATTGAAATCTCTTTTGTTTTTATTTATTTATATTTATGTAAATTATTTATATAAACTAATTAATATCAATTGCTGGTCGACTAGTCTTTGAATTAACCCAATTTAATTACCTGTATCCAAAGTTGAGTAGCATTCCTAGAAACAAACAGTGCCCATCAGACATCTGGCACGAAGATTCTGGCGCCAGATTTGTCTCTGAACAAAAACAAACAATCATATATTTCTATGTCTGCTGAAGTTTTTTTTCGTTGATTTGAAAATTGATTTTCAGAGCTGCTATAAAACACTACATTAAAATTATGTCGAAAAATAATTGTTTAATTTTGAAAAAAAAAGTTAAAACGAAAGACCTTTCTGAGCGCAAAAAGTTAGTGTATATTGGCGCCAAAGGCTCTCTTAACAATTTTTAGTATTTGTCGACCAAAATGAATGTTTTAAAATAGTTGCAACGGGGCCATTAGAGTGTCAAAAATTGAGGTTTGGGCCTTTTTTTTAGCTCTTCACCGGCCCAAAAGGTTCGAAAGTTTTGCAAACGAAAACGTTCGTATTTCCAACGTTTTTTGAATTGTTTTAATCTTGTTCCAAAAGGGGTTTACTATGATATATCACAACCCATTCTGATTTTTATTTGTTTTACCTGATTTTGCGATTAAAAACAAAAAAGCAAATGTAAACAAGAATAGCCGTTTACTGTGCAAGTATCACGGAATATACCGACCGCATTCATAAAAAAACAACAAACAAGTTTTTTCTTTTTCTCAGTTTTGGTTTAGTTTTTTTTTTAAGATTGAGGCGATAAAAACATTCAAATGCGTAGAAAATTAATAAATCAAATATAATGGACAACAGTTGCGGTAAAAAGTTGAAAAACAAACAAAAAGAGAAGAAGAAAATCAATTTTACTTACGTTTTGCATCTTAGCTTTTTCATTTTTAAAATTGTTTAATGCAAAGGAAGCATAAGTGGAGCTTCCTAATTTTTTTCCGTTGTAGAACTAGATTTCGAAACTCTTGTCTAAATTCGAGCGAGCAAAGAACTCTTAGCTGACTATATTTGCTCAACTATTGATTAAAAAGCAAAAGTTTGAAACCGATTTTTCTCGACACTCATAGAATGTTCCGAAAATTTTTAAATATGTGTTCGAATCTCGAATGAAAGGGCCTCAATTTGATATCATTCGACCCATTCCAATTGTTGTTTGTGATACGTGAGTTCGCATGAAAAAAAAAAGAAAACTGCAACACCCAGAAATACAATCAAACCTTTCAATGGTCTGAGCAACTCTGATTTCTTGTTCAAAAACAATTCTGGCCAAACGCTTCTGGGCTACATGCAAGAAACATTTGAAATAAGGTAGACATAATATAATATAAGCCGCTTAGGGTAAACAGATATTATCTTGATTCAGAGAAAGATTCAAGGTGAAACCTCACCGACAACATATATGACGATGACGTCGAAGTAGAGAGAGACTGCGGCATACACTACCACTACTTGTCTGGAGTAACACCTCAAAGGGCGCATGAAGAAGTAAGTCACTATCGTGATCACACAACACACCATTGAAGTGTACCTGCAAATTACTTGAAATATTTAAACACATTACGAGGCCAAACTGTGCACTGGATAGGCGCACAATTTGGTGTTTCTAGGTCTTTGGAATCCAGAGACAAGTCTTTGAAAAGTTTTTTTTTGTCGTAACAATTAAAGAAAACAAAAGAGCAGAAGAAGAACAAAGAGAGCGTCCTTGTTGCGGAATCAGCTTACAAACTCACAAAATACAGTTTGGCCTCGTAATTAAGATACGAAAAAGTAAGGAAGAAATTCAGTCAGTTAGAAGAGCGTGTTTGAGAGTTTTTGCGCATGAGAACAGCCCCCAAAAAATACAGCTCCAGGTTTACTTACACTGCTGAAATTAACTATGAACTACCCACACTGACCTCCGAAAACAAAAAGGCTTGTCATACAATTTCATGCAACAAGTAGCTTGTCTTACAATTCCATATATGAGTGTATCGAAAAAATGCTTATCACAATTTCTTATATAAAAATTGAATGATAAGTATTTCTTAGATGGCTAGAAAATACTTCCGAAGTACCAATTACAAATTTCAGAGCAATTTTTTCATGCAAAATTAGTTACTCAGATAAGCAATTTCCAAAAAAATGCATGCAAAATTTAGACATTTTTGTTCATAAGACTGAATTTTTGACTGCTTTTATTATACAAATGAATGAAATGTGACTATGAAATTTAGTTTGAATCGAAATTTGATACTTTCATTTTTTTTTCTGATAATATTAAAAAACTTAAAATGAAAACAAAACTTGATTTTTTTTTATATAAAAATGATTGACATACATTTTTCTTACAGAAAATAGCTATCATTTTCTAGTTAAGAGAAAATGCTTGTCGTAGATATTTATTGCTATTTTCTGTAAGAATGATATTGTACGAAATTGTATGATAAGCTTCTTTTCATATATGAAAATTGTGTGATAATTAAACGTTTTGGTCAAACTATATTTCGTGGGTGTCTCGTCAACTCGACCACAGAACTTTCAGTGCAAAACTGATTGAAAAGATATATTTTAGTTGAAACTGAAACCTGGCCTGTTTCAGACCCTTTTATGATTCAACTATTTGACCAAATCTCAGTATCTTAGGACCATCTCGACAAATAATCCTTACGTGTCGACTTTCTCGAACAAACTTAGTTTTATTATGACTTTCTAGAAAATTTAAATTCTATCATAATGGGGCATATCTGACTATTTTTTAATGAAAAAACAATCAAAAAATTTCGTGCTGTTCTTGCCTCAGCTAATAGCAATCTACATATCAAAAAGCAGAAATCGGAAAAATTCACTTAGGCAGCAGAGAAAAAAACTCGGTTGTTTTTTTTTTCAAATTTTCAATTAACCCTTTTTCAACGGTTTTGGCGTTATATCATCCCTTTCTAAAAAGATCAAGAAACATGACTAATGTTTACATTTTGATTGATGCAAATTGTCTGAGCTAACATTTCGAGTTTTCTCGCCCTAGGTTTCAACTGCGCTCGAACTACCTTTCGACTCTGCTCGAATTATGGTTCGACGGGGCATGACCTGTATTTTTTTCCTTGACATCTTGCTTTATCATGGCGACCTTTAACTTGAAAAAAATACATTAAGAGTAAAGAGAATGGAAATGTTGATCATAATAAATTTTGGTGAAAATTTATTAAAACTTACTTTTTTCTGTTAAAAACCTTAGTTTTCAAATTTTTTTTAAACTTTAGTTATCAAAGTTTCAAATCAGAAAGGGTTGACATTTGGTTGACTGGGTTTAAACTATATTGCACTTTCATGACCAAAGTGGATATTTTTTGACTATGCTCGGCTTATATTTGACTTTTTGACCACAATCAAACAATTTTTGATTTTAAGCTTGGCTTAAAATAGTTTCTCAACCGCGGATTGTGAGTCCAGAAACTGCATTTTTTCTATTTTGGCTCCTCGCTCCGGAAAATTTTTTTTATCAGTAGCAAAGGGTGATCTAAGATTTTTGAGAGAGGGGGAGGGCGGGCTATCCGCCTGTTAAAAAATTAGGATAACACTCGTAGATGGTTAAGAGTGGCAACTTAAACTAAGACTAGATTAAAACTATGGTTGGTTAAGATTCCTACGATAAAATGTAGGCTTTTATTTAAGACTAAATAAAAGACGGTGATGCTATCTAAAGTAAGAGATGTTAAAAAGATTGAATTAGTTTCGGTTGATTTGTTGCATCTCATCAAGGATAGTGCGCAAATTCCAAGTCTACCAAAAGCCGTTGCGCTTTTGGCAGGTGTATATAAATTAACAACGTAAAGGTCAACGATCAGTATAGAGGTTAAATGATCAAACAATAGTACTTTTTATATTCCCCGCGAAAATTTATCTAAAAGCTATTACTTTCGCCTCGCAAGAAGAAAAAAGAAAGTAATTAAGCGCTCGGGTGAATGAACAAGTGGGCTCGTTGGCCAAGACCCCCAAAAGTGGATCTGAATTGCTAGAGACATAATCTTGGTAAAGCACCGAGGGCCAAAAGAGCGTATTTCATACAAACAAAAATTTAATACACGGTTACTAGGTCGAAGGAACGGGTGTACGGTTCGGGAAGGACCGTGCGAACAGGCCCGATGGGCCGGAAGACGTATTCTTCAAGTAATAACACAAAAGAACAAAAACAAAGCACCTTAGATCAAATAGCATGATTTCGTCAGGTAACATTAAATATAGGCCAGTTACTGTGGACGAGCAAGGAACTGGAATAGCACTGGGGTGAATGAGGCAGTAAGGTGGGCAGGGAAATATCCCCGAAGGCAGGCCAAAATAAGAGGCAGTATTAAGATGGATAGATCTAATGGTTATCCAGTGGTAGCACCCAATGGGTGAAAGAGAACTTTAACGGCATTCAAGCGAGGTTATGGGGCTCAAATAAAGCTTTAAGTGTTATCAAAGTAATCTAAGTTTTTGGCGAGCTCTGGAAGTTTATAAGACTCTAAAGGCGATGGAATGTTAAGTAACATTCAACAATAAACAGGATACTAGAGTACTAAGAGTTTTTAAGAGTTTATGAAAGTTTATGATAGCATCTAGACTGAAACTCCTACTTCTAATTCGTTTCCCGATTTGCCGCTTTGTTATTTGTCCATCTCCTTAACTCCTCCAGCGTCATTGGCCGTCCTAAAAGTTCTATCGCCGAAATGATAGAGGAAGTGTTCAGCCAGTCGGGGTCAGGTACAATGGGAGCAGATGTTGAAGATGAGGTTTCGGAGGGTAGGCCCGATGGGTCAAATTGAGTGGTACGGACCTCAGGACTAAATTTGACCTTCTTACGAGGAGTATGTTGGTCATCTGCTACCGAGGGCTTTGGATCACTTGGGTAGGCAGAGCTTTCTTCCCGCAAGTGAATTATCGTGGGACGCGAAGATGAGGGTGGTGTTAAGGTTGTCAGGTCTACTAAGTCGACTTGGTGGCTTTCCATTTCTACGGTAGTTGCTTCTATCGTTGTGTAAGCTGGGGCAGGACTAGGTGAATTAAATAATGGGCCGTCCTGATCTTCATTTGTTAAATCGACTACACTGGTAAACACTCTTTCGCCTAGCATCTTGGGAGGCTGTCTAGTTCGCATAGGTCTGGTGTTCTGTCGTGTAAAGATTTCTGACAATTTCTTCGAAGGTGGTGATTTCGTTGGAGATGACGCTTTCCTCTTCGCGGTACCGGACAGTTTCGGTTTTTTAGTGGCAAGGTCAGAGTGTAGTTGCTTAGATTCCACCTCCGCCATGGCGATTGGTTCTACACTAATCTCGGTAAATTCCCGTCCAGGGTTCTCCGGAAGAAGCGGCTTTTCTTGATTCGGTTGATTGGCCTCCTCCATAGTGTCCAAGAGAACCAACTGTGGGGTCACTTGTAGGTCCCTTTCATTATCACCAGAATCCAAGTCGATCAGGGGAATCTTATCCGACTCGACCTTCTGTTCAACATGGTCCGGTATTTCTGGCTTACGATCTGTTCGGTCGGAGATTAGGTGTTCATCCGATTTTGTAGCTTCGAATAATGTTTTATCCTTGAGGTCTTTTAGCGAAATTAGGTCGCTAACATTATCGTCTGAAATCTCTTCATGTGGTTCGATCATCAATCCAGGTTCATTTACGCAACTTTTTCGAAGGTCGGGTTTACCCGACGGGCTTGATTCTTGGTCACTTTCAAGGCCTATTGGGATTCTCAATCTCTTCCTCTGTTCTTCTTCCTCTCTGAGAAGAGTTTCTCTAGAGCCGTTCATGGCCGCGTTTCGCCTCGCAATATCAAGCTCTTCGAATTTCCACTGGAGGTTTTTTTTCTTTTGCGTCGTTCTTGAGCTTTTAAATCCGACATTTCTCGGCGGTTTTGTAGTTTTCCTCAGTCCTTTAGTTGCATAGAATCTAACTAGTTGATCTCGTTTTCTCGGGCTGGGTTTCTAATGGGTGCATTGTCTTTTAATGGCTAAATCAGATTTACGTATTATTTTACCATTTTTTAAGGTAACTGTGTGGTCTGACTCCCTTACAATTTCATCCTTGAGTACTCTATAGAATGGTTCACTTTTCGTTCTATCTTGGACTTTTCGTTAAATAATGGTCTTACCCGGCGGATTATTCAGTATTGAGTCCTTTATACCCAAGGCATCTCTCTTTTCTGCCCGAGAAAGCACTTTTACTGGGGATCCAGCACTGGTTGGTACGTATCTCACTGCATTTGAGATATCCTCCGAGGACGATGAGTTTTCGTCAACATCTCCATCTTCTATATCATCGGGGGCGTCTCAGTCGTATCTTCGCTCTCGGCTCATTAGTTTTTTGCCCTTATCTATGCATAACAAAGTTTTATTCCAATCAAGGTTATTCGAAGAGGGTGATTTGACCAAATTATGCCAGATGGTGTTTGGGGATCTACCAAAATGTGCTTCGAAGGGAGAGCAGTTAAGCGACTGTTGAGTTACCGTTCTTAAACATTTTATTATTTTCAAAAGTGCAGATTCTAGCGAAGGTTTTGGACGTTCTTGTGCCATAACCAAGAGTCTTTCCTTAATGGCTCTGATTAGACGTTCCACTAGTCCGGTAGCTCTATGATCACCCACTGGGCTAAATATCACTTTTATATTGTGATTGTGGCAGAATTCTCTGACTTCCTTGGAGATAAAACCAGATCCTTGATCTGTTCTAATGGTTCTAGGTATCCCGTGTAAAGCAATGTATTTACTAAGGAAGTTTATGATAGATTTTGCCGATGTGCTGGATGTTATTTGAGCTGATGGGAATTTTGAAAATCTGTCCACGCACACTAATATGTATTTTTTTGTTCCCCATACTAAAGGTAACGGACCGGCGAAGTCTAATTCCATTTCTTGGTTTGGCTCTTCGACCGTTGGGAGTTTCCCTAGGGTATTGTGTTTTATAAGAGGTTTCAAGTTTTTACCTGCTTTCACGCACTCAATACAGTTTTCGCCGTGGACTTGAATTTCGCGGTAAATTTTCGGCCACCAGATGTATTGAGTTGCCAGACTTTTCATTGCGAACTGAACAGGGTGAGTTTCATGTAGTCGGTTGAGCAGCATTGTCGATCTTAGGCATGCTGGGATAACTAACCGATTGTCCAGATAAAGACATCCTCCGCTGACATGTAAATTATTTAAGTACGATTTATAGTAGTTTCCCAGTTGTAGAATATCTTGTTTGCGGTCTTCCTCAATTGCTTTAATTATCTTTTTCAGAACTAGATCTTGTTTTGATAAGAGGGACATAAATTTTGAATCGAATATTTCTGGCCAAGAAAAAGGGAATATACTGACTGTTTTCTTTTTACTAGGTGATCTTTTCATGGGATTATCCGACGGGTTACTGGTGCTTGGTGTTAAAGAGTCCATGTTTTCATTAGCAATAAGTTCTTTCTGTTGGTTAAATTCATTTTGTTCTGCCATTTCTTTCAGGATGTTAAAATTCGTAAAAAAGTCGTTTAATTTGCAAGATGAGTCACACTGTTCTGTACGCGAGTGAGAATTTTGGCACACTGAAATGTTGGAATAGTTAGCTATCGCTTGGAACGTTTCAGCGGCATTAGCAATTCGTTTCTCACGTTCTATTTCTTGACTGGTCATATGATCTGTTGACTGGCCAATCGTGTTGCAGGAAGTGACGTCATATGCTAAGAAATGTTGAGAGAATTTATTTCTTATTTGCGACCACGAATTTCTCGGCATTAGGTGATCAAAACCTAGGAGCGTACTAATCTGATTTACTGAAGCGATAACAAATTTTTCGTCATCCAGAGAAACTGGTACGGGTTCACCCGATGGGTGTCGGGATATATAATCAACAAATCCCATATCTTTACCGGGTAAATGTTCGACGGTAAAGTCGAACGGTAGTAGTTTGTCCGCCCAACGGGTGAGACGTGATTGGGCCGTTTTAGTATATTTATCGTCTTTCAGTGCTCCTATTAAAGCTTTGTGGTCTGTTAAAATTGAGAATTGTTTGCCCAGTAGGTAATTTTTGAAATGGTCTAGTGCCCACACTAATCCCAGTAGTTCGAGTTCATTAGTGCTGTATTTTAATTCGGCAATATTCAAAAATCTGCTAGCGAACGCTACGGTCTTCCAATTCCCCCGATGGTCCTGTGCGATGGACGCGCCCAATCCTAAATGTGAGGCATCGCATTTCACTCGAGTGTCCAGTTTTACATCGAAATGATGGTTCGTCACCGTATTACAAATTTCTTTTTTGATTTTTTCAAACGCTTCCGTGTGTACTGTAGACCACTTAAATGGTTTATTTTTTTGCATAAGTTCTCTAAACGGTCCACTTAAATGGTTTATTTTTTTGCATAAGTTCTCTAAACGGTGTTGATAGGGACGCTAAGTTTGGTATGAACTTATTAAATTGATTAATCGATCCCATTAATGATCTGATATCTTTGATACAGTTTGGTTCCTTCAGGTTTCTGATTGCGTCAGATTTATGTATTAGTGGTGTCGTCCCTTTTGCGTCGATTTTAAATCCCAACCATTCTATGTGTTGTGAGTTAAGAATGTGCATTTTTCTCATTTTATGGCTAGTCCCTCGTCATCTAGTGTTTTTAACACGTTAATGACTAGCTTTTTATGTTCCTCCTCGCTACCCACGGTGGCGATTAGGATGTCATCAAAGTAACAATGGGTATTTGGTAATTTTTCCGTCAAACGGTCCATTATGCAATGAAATTCACTAGGCATATCGCCTAGTCCGTAAAATCCGGTTTTAAAACGGTAGGAACCCGTTACTTCTCCCCCACGATGTTAAAATTACACTGATTACTTGCCTTTTTAGAAAGCGGTATTTGACTGTAGGCGTATTTTAGATCAACCGATGAAAACCAGATGTTTCTTTCATCGTGGCCGCTAATCGTAACTGCTACGTTGTCAATTAGTTCGAATAGGTTCGGCATTTGATATCTATTACGAAATATCTGTTTATTTAATAGTTTTGAGTTCAATGCTAGTTTGATTGACCCGTCCCTTTTTGCTGTAATTACGATGGGGGAGATAAAACAATCTTCAGAGCATCTAGATAATTTTTCGATGTGTCCGTCTCTTAGTAATTGGTCAATACATACTTTGACTTTAGGGAGAAGATGGATCGGGATACGTTTCCCTTTCACCTGTATCGGTTTTAACGGTTCGTTAAAATAAGTATTAACTACGTAGTTCTTTGATCTACCCGTTCTTTTTATGAGGTCTGAAAAGTGTTTTGATATGTATATTTTAAACTCACTTTGAGATGGTGTCTCTTGGCTTTGATCCTGTTTGTTATCCGATGCGAATTTTATTTGGTTGACGTTTGTCCCAATGGGTGATGCTTTCTGGTCTTTCCATGACTTTGGCCCATTGGGTGGGGGTTGTTTCTGAAATACTACGATTCCCAGATTCGGTAAGATGTCGTTTCCCAGTAGATTTCTTTCAGCCCCTTCGGTGATGAAAAGTTTTTGGTCATTAGCCTCCCATCCCTTCGATCGGATTCTCACTCGAACTCTTCCAATAATGTTGATTGTACTCCCGAAGCCCTGGTATGCTTTCTTTGTTATTTCGTCCACAGATTCTAGTATTAAAAATCTATCTCGTATCTTCAATTCGTGTAGTAGATCTTTTTTCATGAAAGAAACTGGACTTGCTGAGTCGATTTGAATTTCAGTATAGTAAGGGTTGAAATTTCCCAGAGATACCTTTAGTGTCTTTTTCAGTTCTAGTCCTTCGTGGTTGAATACTGTTCTCACTCCGCGCTCTATTTTGTCTTCTACAGCATTTATTTGGCTATCTGTGTCTACAGCTAGAACTAAGAAATCGTCTAAGTTGACCTCAAATTCGGGATTTTCCTGCGGGTTGGCCCGGGTTTTTTCGTTTTCTTGAGGTACTCGATTCTGTTCGACGATGTTCGTTTGTGTTCTTGCTGAACTCCTGCAATGTTTAGCAAATTTTCCTTTGCGTCCGCACGTATTGCAGTTTCTATCTCTGGCAGGGCATGTGGTTAAATGTCCTTTTTTGAATTGCTGACCACAGTTGCGGCATTTGTTATTTTCAACGATGTTTAGGGTTGGTTCATTCTTTACGTATTGTGGTCTTGGTACTGCGTTATAAGTTGGGAATTTTAAGTACTGTTGATGGATTTTGGTACCTTTTTCGTGAACTAATACGTAACATAGTACGTTTTCTGGGGTCAAGTATTCTATGCATAGTTTCTTTTGGATCTCGACATTTCTCATGTTTGTGATGAAAATATCTCTTACTAATTCTGACTCGAGTTCCCCCAGTTTACAATTTTTTGCTAGTTCAGAAAGTATTTTGTGGAATTTTTCTAAGGACTCATGTTCTTTCTGTCTTCGGCCAAGAAATTTAAATCTTTCGTATGTTAAGTTTGTAGTGATCGTGAAGGTAGTTTTTAGTAGTTCCCAAAATTCTGCGAAATTGATATCCAGAATTCTTTTACCAGGGTTTTTATGAGAGAAGCATTTCTGTCCTTCTTTTCCGAGTGCTAGGTATAACTGTGATTTTAGCTTCTTGTCAATATCTCCGATTTGGAGTCCGTTAAATTTTGCGTTATCTTCCGCCCTTCTCCTTCTCACTTATTCGTTATAATTTTGTACTGCTATTCTGTGGTGTTCTTCTTTTTCGGCCCGACGGGCTTGATCATCGGACGGGTCCGGTGGTTCTGCCGTAGGGTAAGTTAGTTCGTTTCTTATCGGTGGGTTAATTACATCTTCGATGTCTACGGAATCTTTCGCAATAATTGTCAATTGAAAGTTTTCCGACCACCTTTCCCAGTCGTGTTGATTTTCGTTTGATGAGTTGTTCCAAAAAAACTCTAGTCCTCGTAGGTTCAATTCGTTAGACTGCGCCATACTAAAAAATTAGGATAACACTCGTAGATGATTAAGAGTGGCAACTTAAACTAAGACTAGATTAAGACTATGGTTGGTTAAGATTCCTACGATAAAATGTAGGCTTTTATTTAAGACTAAATAAAAGACGGTGATGCTATCTAAAGTAAGAGATGTTAAAGAGATTGAATTAGTTTCGGTTGATTTGTTGCATCTCATCAAGGATAGTGCGCAAATTCCAAGTCTACCAAAAGCCGTTGCGCTTTTGGCAGGTGTATATAAATTAACAACGTAAAAGTCAACGATCAGTATAGAGGTTAAATGATCAAACAATAATACTTTTTACACCGCCGATAGTTTTCAAGGCCGGTCCGACCGACTGGATGATTTCATACATGAAAACAATAATTTACCACACGCCGCTGACCAAAAACCAAGTTTTTGAAATTTGGGCTGAGATACCAAAAGTTGATGTCATAAACTAGTATCGAAGGGTGGTGGAGAACTAAGCTCCCCAGATGTCGTTTGCATTAGCCCCACGCCCCCTCCCTCCCATCCGTTAAAAATCCGTTTAAATTGATGGGGAAAAAATTGAGGGTGGCAAAAATTTTAAGTTGTTCAGTTTACAAACATAACTTACCCAAGAACTTTGAGTAATGTTTGAGTGTCATGCAGAAAATTGCCCACCGACGCAGCACTATACGAAACTAAAACACGAAAGTGACGCTTCTATTGGTTCAAAACTTATCAATGAACAGCATTGTGACAAGTCTAAATAATAAATTTTGATTATTATGTCACTTAAAAGAAAATGTCTCAAAATAAAGGGGTTGAATCAAATCACTAGCCCAAACTAGCTCAAATTCGCCCAAATAATAGTAATCGTGCGCACATTTATTATCTTAAGTGGCAACTCCAACATCCTATTAACTTTTTGAAAAAATGTAGCAGGTGTGGACAGCCCTTTTAATTCTGAGCGTAGTGTATCATTATCTTCAAATGGAACAACTTTTAAAAATCCACAAAGTATGTTTGTTGAAAAGTCGAACTTTAAACAACAAGTTAAAATCCTCAATCCCAGCGTTTAATTTATTTTAAATTTGCTAAGCGCTGCATGTAAAATACTCGATTCGACCCCTGCCGACCACAAAAGGTCTCCACTTTGTACTATTTTTAAACATCCATTTTTGGCTGACTGACTCTAAAATGTTTCAAAAGGCGCCTTCAGCGCCAATATATACTAACAATACAAGAATATACTCGGAGCGCACGCAGAAAAAACGCAATTGATTTAAAATCATTTTATTAAAATTTTTACCTGATTTTTTTTCAAAAATTTGCCCGCGGCGATAAAAATTTTGCCATAATGGGATGGGGGGGGGGGTATTTATAGTGATTTGTGAGAGCTCAGAAAATCAATTTGGCAAGTTAGTCGACCTAAAATTTTTTCGAATGCCCCGCCCTTGAGAAAATCTTAGATACCCGGGTTGACCAAAACTTCTTATCATACAATTTCCATATTTGAGAAACTTCTTGTCATACAATTCCATACGTACAGAAAATTGCTTGAAATCTCTATGATGAACATTTTTTCGGAAGCTTCAAAAAAATTTGCTCTTATGAAAAAAATGATTATCATACAAGTTTTTTAAATGAAAATTGTAAAATGAGCATTTTTTTTGACGTCCAAAGCGCTTCTATTGAACCAGAAACGCTATTATCTCATTTGAACCTTTCTGAAAATTGTTTTCAGAGCATTCCTGATTTCTGTTTTTTTTAATACAAAAATTCTTATCGTACAATTTTCATATATGGAAATTGTATGATAAGCATTTTTTTCATTCCAAACTGAAATCTGTTTTCGATGAAAAAAAAAACTGACATTGAGCAAAAAACGCTTTTGACTCATATACAACTTCTTAAAAAACCTTTTCAAAAGATTTCTAAAAACTTTATCAAAAAAGAAAAAAATGCTTATCTTACAATTTTCATATATGTGAATTGTATGATGTGTTTTTTTTTTCAAAAAACCAAAACCTCGATTTTTTCATCACCCGACTGTTTTATTAGAATCAAACAGCCGCAGAAATTAGTTTAAACCTTTTTTCTACCATTTTTCAAAATTGTATGAAAATTGTATGACACGAATTTTTTCCATATACTTGATGTTTGGAATTGTATGATAAGCGTTTTCGGTGTATGGAGGTCAACCCGGGTAAGCCCCTCGTTTGAAAGATCGTTCCAATTTTCAAAAAATGATCAATGGTAGTTCGGACCATGTTAAAATGCTCCCCCAAAAGCTGTTTAGGGGTAGAGATGTTGATTTGGTTCCAATTTTCTGACGTTTTCAGCTTCCGGCTTTTTTTTGCCCCCCATCCCACTTGCGAGTAATTTTTTTGTTTGTATGTGTTGATTTGTATGAAAATTTAAATGCGGACTAATTAGGGAAAGACATGTTTGGTATTCACACTTAACCCTGTAAAAACATGCACGTCATAACATTGATACTCGTGTGAGGTAAGAAAAAGGAAGAAGAGACTCCCATCAATCCCCGCCCCAATCCCCGCAAGCAATAGCAGGTAATAGCAATTTGATGAAAAATTAGAATTGATAATCAAATTACTTGTGAGAAGCGATAGCAAAAAAACCAGCCGGAGTATGATAAACCAACCGAAAACGCGCGAAGTGTATAAGCCAGCCAGCCCAAAAATAACATCATATGTTTGAATTAACTGTTACTTAATTGTTACTTAACTATTATAGCACTTGTATATACCACCGTTTGAAGCATCGTTCCAATTTTAAAAAATTGCTCGATGACATTTTGGACCAAACTGATATCGCCCCCAAGCAGTTTAGGTGAAAGGGTGGGTGTTAACTTGGTTCCAAGTTAGGAAATTTCAGCCATTCAGAATCGAGTATTTTACATGCAGCGCCTAGCAAATTCAATGCGAATTAAATGCAGGGTTGGAATATCTTAACTTATTCTAACTGGGGCGGAGCAAAACCTTTTTGTAAAAGAAAATTGAGAGAAATTTAAGAGCAATCGGAACATTCGGGGATTTCCTACATTATTTGCTCAAAGCCTTTTTTCTTAATCAGCAAAATCACGCTGTTTGTTTACCGTTGTTATATTGGAACCAGGTGTAGTTCCAGTGGTTGCAAATAACATCATCAGGGTTCGCGAAGCACACTCCATAGGGGAGAGATGTGTCACCCTCCTCAATTGATGCACTCACTTCATTCGAGTCTCTATCTGTCTCTGGAGTAAAAAGGTCCACAAAGTCCATCACTGACCTCTGTGGATCCAATGCTTTAACTAGTCATATAGGAAATGAGCTCCAATGAAATATACCACATGCAAAATTTCAATAAATTGATTTTTGGGAGCAACGGGATCTAGGAGTGTAAAATTTTGTAGAAAAAAAAACAAAAAAGTTTGCGAGCTCTTCTAAAACACTGTAAACTTATTATTTTTTCTGATTTTTTTCAGCTTACTTTTCTTATTAATCAGGCCAGAATTTGAGACAATTTCTGCAAAAAATATATCAAAATCAAAATGCCTTTTTTAATCAAAATTCGAAAAAATTGACAGATAATTCAGGCGTGGTCTGTTTGTTTTTATTCCAACCAGGGGCGGATCTAGGATTTTCTCAAGAGGTGAGGGTTGTATATTCAAAAAATTTTCAAAAATTTTGTCGACCTTTTTTTAGGTCGGACCAAATTCATTTCCGAGCTCTCTCAAAGCATTAAAAAGAGCTTGTTTTGGCCACATTTTCTTGTTTTGGCCAAATTTTTTAGGTCGGACCAAATTGATTTCCGAGCTCTCTCAAAGCATTATAAAGAGCTTGTTTTGGCCAAATTTTCTTGTTTTGGCCACATTTTTTAGGTCGGACCAAATTGATTTCCGAGCTTTTTCAAAGCATTAAAAAGACCTTATTTTGGCCACGTTTTTCGGCGTTTTCAGGCATTTTTTTGGATATCTCAAAATAGCATAAAGGGGGTACCCTTTGTGACCCCCCTCCCCTCTATATTTGCCCCTGATTCCAACCAACTTCATCTTTCTCAAAATCAAAAGATATTTTACCTACCGCTATTTTTTGTGAAAGCATTGGCTTTTGAAAATTGGCAATTTAGCTAATTTAGGACAATTAATGGGGGATCCAAAAGTTCTCTTCTCAAAAAAGTAAAAGGATTGAGCTGAAAAATTGATCCGTCCTTCTCTCACGAGATTTGCGCCCCCCCCCCCCCCCCCTACTAGTAACCAGTTTTGCAACCATACCAGTTGAATTGCGGCAAAATAATTGTTCCAAACGCCCAAATGAAAAATGTATCACCCTACACTTGGCATAGCGTGTGGGGGTGAAAGAAGACTTAACAACAAAAATGAAAATTCTTACAAAAACTATTTTCGATTTCTTTGAAACTTTATGGATTCTCTAAAAAACTGTTTTTTTTATGGATTCTCTAAAAAAGTCTTTAAAAGCAGTCAAAGCAGTCAGGTCTCTCCTGGTATAAGTAGTATTGTTCGACCTTTTAGGAATGTTACCCACACTGAAGTTCCATGGATAATAATTGATTTGAATTGGTTTTCGTATTCAAAATGTTGCCATTATAAACAGTTATAATTATATCTTTCATAAACGATACGATTGTTTTAGAAATTTACAAAATAAAAATATGAAGTCAGACCATAAAAATTCGTTATCATCTGTTATTATCAACGGAATTTTATAGCAAAAAAATTGGGTTCTGTCACTGGATTCACTGGATTGAAATTTGATGCACTTACATTAGGAACGGATACCCCTTTCTGGCTTAGCTCTGCTGAGATGATCGTCTGAGAGGTTAATTTCGGTTACTATTTAACAAAACTAGCGGGTGCAAAACATTATTTGCTTAATGGAAAAGATTTAGTCAGACAAATAAACAATGATTTAATGTACGATGAGTAGCAAATTATTTATATTGACTAAGTTTGGTGGTAGTAGTTGCTATAAGCCATTTGCTTTGTCATAATAGCTTGTTATTATATTGTTGTTTGATGTATTGGTAAGCTATCAGGCTATTTCTAGCTAATTTACCGCAAAATAGTTCGAAATAAACAAATAAATAAATGAATGCAATCAAGGGAAGAATTGGAGGGCTTCGATTTTTCTCAGGGATTCCACTACTTTATTATAAAAAAAATCGTTTTCTGTACTAGTTTGAGAGATCCACTTTGAAGAGCGTTAGCTATAAGTATAAAGACATAAGCAAAAAAAATAGCTCGATTCCGTTTCTTTTAATTCATCAGTTGCCTTTATTCACGAGAGAAGTAAAGGCACCCCTCAGATGACTGTTGGGTGAAGAAAAAAAAAACTTCTTCATGTGGCTGAGCAATAAACTTAAAAATAAAAAAGAGAGTCAAAACATGAGAAAATACGAGAAAAGTATTCCAAAAAAGTTAGCTAAATTTAGCTTTTTTGAAAGATACAATCAAATCTGAAATGAAAAGATATCAGCTACATGCATCATTCTGTGAATGCTTATCTGAACCCACCTCTCACCTGAATTTAAATCTTAGCTGCGCCCACCTTTCACTTGCAGGTGAAACTTACCTGCGCTCAATTTCACCTGCAGATGAATTTTAACCAGCAACCTCTTGTCTCCAGCATACTCATCCCCCCCCCCCCCCCAACAAACAACTACAACCAAAAGAGAAGAGATTGGTTAGCTGATTCAAACCACCAACCAACCATCCTCCCTTGTCACTCATCTCATCTCAACACAACCCCCCCCCCCCCCACCCAAAAAAAACACCCTCCAGATTGAAATTATTACCGATGAAGCAGAAAGCAGAAACCCAATCCCTTGATTTATCAAAGTCTTAATTGTTCGTTAACACCATTTACTATACTAACTGTCACTCCAGACCGAATAAAGTTGAAATATATATGTGAAAAGACAATTTCGATAGGTAATTAATCCGTTAAGTTTAGTAACCGTAAAGTAGAAAGTTAGTCGGAGACAATAAAATGGCGGTCATCCAAAGGTGACGGACAACTCTGAAGGCTAAATGCCAGTTAGCGCCAGACAGATAGATAAAGTAGATAGCAACAACTATGATGAAACTGAACTCCAATTGTGAACTAATTTAGATACTATGACATTCCCCTTATTGTGAGAAATGAAGACTTAATTTAAATACTCAATGAAATGTGGTTATGTAAATGAATGAAAGTTAACAACGAGTTTTAGCTAGAGTTTTGGTTAACTGGTACAGGCAAGGTTAAACTAAACAATTGAGTTTTTGCCGCTTTACGGAATGCCCTCTCCCTGGACTTAGAACGTTTTTGTTTTCATGCTTTTCCTCCTTTCTATTTCGTCCCTGGTTTTTCCGCTTTTTGGATATTGTCAATCATGACTGCCCCCATTTTGTTGACTGCCGTACGTTTCCTTCACGAACGTCTTGAGCTGGTCTGGTCTAACGAACTTGCTGAAACTTGACTCGAATACGAAACAAGCCGTTGCTTCCTTCCCCGCTTTTTGCTTCCGGCTTGTGGAATCTCCGATTTGTCCTGCGTTACAGTCTCGTCGCGCTCCGTCTCCTTTCGATTCTCTTCCGTCGTGTCGTGCTTCCTCCGGTTTGTTTCAATCTCCGCCTCTCGTGGAAGAGTGTACTCCGTTGCCGTCTCGTAATTGCTTGGTCGAAATGTTATGGGCTCCGTTTGTTGTCCCCACTAGATGTTCCTTGTCTTTCCCCTTTAATGTTCGTCCCCGGGTTTTCCCCCTTCGATTCGGTCGCTTGTATTTTCGTCGCCAGTGGTAAATAGTCGTCTTCGTCCGATTCCGAGTCCTCCACGTTATCCCTGATTTGGCTTTTTTCTTGTTTGCCTGCGGTGCTTTGTTAGGTAGCTGTGGTGTTTTTTGAGCTAGATGGTCGGTTTGCGAGTAGTTTCCGTATCAGGTCCAACGATGTAGGCGGTGCGGCAATCTGACCAGGCGACAATTTCTTCGGAGGGTTGGTCCGTTTTAGTGCTACTGCCGATTTTCTGAGCACAGCACCGTTACTCATTTTAGTAGTATGCTCACTCTGACTTATGATACTGGATTTCAATGGTTTATACCTAATTAGGTTGGGCTATCCCGTACGCTGCATTATTACCGCTGATAGTGGTCCGAACAATCCCTGGTTCGTTATCCTGGTTAGCGATCCGGTCGTCGGCTAATCTCATTGGGTGGCGCCTGTTCTTAACGTCGTACTCAGTATCCGAGCGGACTGCCCAGTTGGTGTCCATTGGTTCTGGCATCGCTTGAGCGTCCGGGTCTCGTTCATCTAATCAGGCAGATTTTGAGCGTATTACGTTTTCCCAATTAAGATTTCTTAATGACGGCTTTTTGGTTAAGTTTCTGAGGACTGTGTTAGCTTCCCGACCATGGTGCGCTTCAAACGGTGTTAGATTCAGGGTGGTGTTTTTAGCGAAACTCAAAGCTCCAAGGGTTCCGGTTTTTTCTCTCGCGCATACGTCAGAACTGATTTCTTGAGACTGCCGTTGGTCCGTTCGACGCACCCTGTTGCTCGATGATCGTTAACTTGGGATGTAAGTATTTCAATTACTTCCTTGTGACAGAATGTTCTGACCTCCTTGGACATAAAAATCGTTCCCTGTTCAACTCGGATTTGTCGCGGTACTCCGTGTGCGATTATATTTGATTTTAAGACTTTTACGATTTTTTCCGACCGATTTGAATTACACACCATGGCCGATGGCTATCAAGAAAAACGATCCACTGCCACCAGAACATACTTTTTAGAATTCCCCAAGTAGCTAATTGGCCCCCAAAAGTCTAACTGCACGGATTCATACGGTTCTTTGGGTTCAGAAATTTTCCCTACATCCCCTTTTGGGCACATGCTTTTAAAAATTTTACCGGCTAATGTGCATTCTTGGCAATTTCGGAACATGCGGAACATGTAGGGGTACCAAATGTTTTTTGCGGCCTCGTACATATTCGATTTCCCATGATGGTAATAGTGCAGTCTGTTGTTTACCGCCGCTTGCAAAGTGTTTGGAATTACGAGTCTCTCATCCATCCATAGGCATCCGTTCTTCACATGAAAATCCTGAGTGTACTGTGCATAATCTTTTACTCATTGCTGCGATTGTTGTATGTAAATCCGGGTCCTTGTACTTGATCATTTCGATGATTGCTTGTAGTTGAGGTTCTGAGTTGTACAGAGTTTCGGTAAATCGAAGGTTAAAAAATTCTGGAAGAGCGTTCTGTTTGTTAACTACTTTACAATTTCTAGGGACATAATACGATTTTCAGGGTTAACCGGCGGATAACTTTGACCAGGGTAAATCGAAGGAATTGAAATAATGGTGTTAATTTTAGTGCACCGGACTTCTGTTGTGGATGCCTGTATATCTTGATTTATCTCCCCTATCTCGTCGCTACTGCTAATGCTTGGGTGTCGTTCCAGTAATTTCTTGATGTTGCGTTCCATGTTTAGGTTCGATTTTGAGCTTTTGAAGTTTATACGCGCATTTGAGTAACCGAAATCTGTTTCAATAATTGTCCCAATTAAATTCTCAATGTACATAAGTGACCAGCCGGACATGCAAGCAATTTGTCGCTCTGTGATTGGTCCAATTTCCGCGCGCATATGTTTTCGCCCTCTACTGGCTGTTTTCTATTCGATATTTTACAAACGCATTTACTATGATTATTATTGGCCTTTGGAGACTCGAATTTACCTTTGGAGAAATCTTTCTTTTTAAATCCGAGGGTGGATCTAATTTGACTAACTTTCGCAACCGTGAACATATTATCATATGTGCTGACCGGTTCAGCGTCCGAACTCGGGTGCCTCGATAGGCAATCCGCGAAACCGATTTTAGCCCCGGGTTTGTGTTCCACTTGAAAATCAAATGGTATGAGGCGATCTAGCCACCGGGTTAATCTACCAAACATCGTCTTGTTGTTTTTGTTATTACCATTTAGCAGCGATACCAGGGCTTTGTGGTCCGTGACGAATAAAAATTATCTCCGCAGCCTATTATTTCGGAAATATTCCGCCCCCACACAACTGGCATATCCAGCATATCCAGCTCGTTTATTGAATAATTTTTATCCGCCTCGTTTAAGTACCGGGATCCGAAAGATATCGGCCTCCATCCGTCGGAATCAAGTTGTTCAAGGACCGCACCGAGCCCGTTATGGCTTGCGTCACAGACGATTCTTGTGTCATGGTGTATATCGAAATGCCGGAGTTCCACTATGTTCGCTACCTGCTTCTTTAGATTCTCGAATGATATTTGACACTCATTAGTCCAGATATGCTCATTTTTTCTGCTTAATAGGGGGCGTAGCGTGGCCGACGGTTCCGCGAAAGCTGGGAGGTATTTTTGTAGGCTATGAAAGATGCCCATGAACTATTTTAATTGCGGAAATGATTTAGGGGCCTTTAGGGACTCGATTGGTTCTGTTTTTCGGATTAGCTGTGTAAATCCGGTGCAAGTTATTTTATGCCCCAACCATTCGCATTCTTTTTGCGCGAATTAGCAGTTAGTAAGTTTCAGCGACATGTTTTTCCGATCTAATTTCCGTAAAATCTTCTCGACCGCCAAGATATGCTCAATTTTGGTGCCTTTGATGACAACCAGGATGTCATCTATGACTGCGTACGCCTGTGGAAATTCCGATAGGATTGTATCCATTACTCTCTGGAATTCCGGCGGCATGGTTTTGAGGCCGTAGAACCCCGTTCGAAAACGGTATGTGCCCGTTGATTTTCCCCCTACTAACGAAAAATTACATTGAACGCTAGTCTTTGGACCAAGTGGTAGCTGACCGTAAGCGTATGTAAGGTCCATCGTAGAAAAGTATACATCCCCTTGTTTCCGTTCACTTATCGTTTGTCCTACGGTATCCATGAGCTCTTCGATATTGGGCATTTGATATTTATTCTTGTGGACTTGTTTATTTAAC